CCCCCCCCCCCCCCTTTTTCTCCTCCCATGGACGTCTTCAAGCCTTTATTTGGGATTTAACATCTAGAGAATGCTTTGAAGACTATAAACTTGCTAAAAGCACTGAGTGTGTAACTTCTTTCTTCATAATACCTCAAGTTTTTTTGTTGTTGTTTTGTTTTAAGAGCATTTTGAACGTGGATATTGTACACTTAGAACAGATACTTGTTTTATTATAAATCTATACTCTGTATCAATGGCTTATGTTGTTTCAAATACAGGATAGACCTGGGATAGGTACATGGCATGCCATAAATATTTATGTATGTATGTATTAAAAAGCCCCTTGTGTCTAGATCTGGCTTTTATATCAATGCAAAGCACAAGCATTTACTGAACTTGAAATCCTATGCATAATTATGTGTAGGATAACGCATAATGGAAATGGAAAATGGTAGTATTGTGACTTAATGGAAGAGCTAGTTAACAGTGCAACATGCAGGAAGTCTCTTAAGAATATGAAAGAGATTATATATTGCTGAGTGGGGCAAAATTCTCTGGAGATATTCTTCCTAAATATTTACTTGCCTATTTATCATGCACAAGTACTGTTCATTTAGATATACTTAGGTTTACTCTTACTATTCAGCCCATGAATTTTGAGTGCTGGAGTGTGGTGTTTGTGGAAATGTTTTCCTCTGTAACTGTAGCCTAATAGTTTAAATTTATGCTGGCATTTTTATGAAGGTTAAATGGTAGTACACTTATTCATAGCTGATAAGGATACTTTTGACTGATAAACAGGGCTTATATATATGCTATATATGTGTGTGTGTATACATATGTGTATATATACACTTAATATATGCACACGATATATATGCATATTCTATGTATTCTAGTACTAGTATTCTAGTTTAGGATGGGAAGAGTGAATCAACTTTTGATAACAGTATAGGTTGTGAATATCATGTCTGCTCTATTTATACAGGATCTATTGTCTAATAAAGATATACATGCATTGACAGAGGCAGGCAACTTGTCTCTGGTATGTAAGTGTGAAAGATACTCAAGCTGGCTGTAAATATGGCATAGTATTTTCTGTTCATGTGCTATCTGCTCTCAAGTTTTCTGTTTGGAGGAAGACGTGAATCCTGGAGAGGGATAATTTACTTTTGATTGGTTTGACAGGTGTGATGAAATGCAAATATTTTGATCAGATAAACATGTTGGCTGGAGTGCTACTGGAGGATGGCCTTGTCAAAAATAGATTGGAGTCAGGTTCAGGTTTAAAGCAGTTGTTATATGGCATGGGAGCTTGAAAGGATCTTTCCCGAGAAAAGCATACTAAATTAATAAAGGGAAAACCAATTTGGTATTCAACAATTAGGGCATATAAAAGAACTCCAGCAAAGCAAAAATGAGGCTTTGTTGTCTTAGCTGCATAGAAAACTTGCTGTTCTTTGCTAGCAACTATGGTTCTTTTTTGGCGTGGGCTCTGAATTTTATATGATTTTCCACTATTAAATGGGAAGTAAAGAGGTAAAACTCAGCCATGGCTAAGCAGTCCTACTGAATGCAATAATTCGCATGTCTGCAGAGAAGAATATTTTCTCTATGTATGGGGTTTATTTTGGGTTCCAAGAAATAGAATACAATGCTCTAAAAGGGAGCACATGAATAGGGAAGCCTACCTGGAAAGTCTCTGGAAAGCTTTCTCCATAGGAATATACCAAAAGGCAATGATTGAGCAATTTAGCTTTATATGATTTTTAAGAAAATTGAGGGTCGTTAGACCTATTGAAGCATTAGCTTTATGATTTTGTTTTAGTGATTATCATATTTAATTACTGAATTTTCCTCCTTGATTTTAAATTTTTTTTTTAAAGGAACAATCTAATTTGTTATGTTTTCACCTCTTCTTCACCTAGGTGGTATTACTGAGAAAATATACTGAGCTTTGGGAGGGATAACTTAAATTTTGTCTAATTAAATGGAAGCCTCAACTAATATTGATTTCATTTTACCTTTCCCAGACCTTCACACTTAATGCAGTCTGATCACTGTAGTGCATAGGTTAGTTCAGAATGTAGATTTTGAATATATTCTTGTAGGACTCTCAGTTGCATAAGAAATTCGTCAACAGAATGCTGCATAAAGGCACAGGTTCAGACTGGGTGCTGTCAGGAGGTGATTCAGTTTTTAGTGTCATGGGTGGAGTACACATACAACATTTGCAAAGTAGTGCCTAATTATGGTGAAGAAAAGTGAAAGTGGGCAGAGGGCGGACAAACTGCTGTCAGCAGTAGTTTGGCAGTTCCTTAGAGGAAAGTTGCTGCAGCTCCTTCCTGCACTTAGACAAGTGGAACTCTGGAGCTTGACACTGCCTGTTTCTCCTGCCAGTGTTTAACCTTGCCCACCTCTTTGCTATGGTGTGTGTTTCTTTTCCCCCGTGTGAGAAGCTCTCAGATGTGCAGTGCTGGGAGTGGGTTCGCTATATGACAGTGTTTGGGGAAACTGCTGCAGCAACATGTACATGGCTGGTTAGAAGGTAGCCCCAGAACAGCAGCGCTCACAGCTGTGTGTGAGCAGTGCAGTGTACCTGTTATGAACATCCATGAGAAATGGGATTTCTTCCATTTCAAATAGAAATTGGTATCCTTCTTACTAATGAAAATACTTGTCTTTAGATTCTGTCTGTGTTTGTATGATAGACTATATTAACTAGCAATGTATTTTTTACTTTTACAGAATTGGAAGATGAGGAACAGTCTGAGGTCTCTTTTTCTTTGCCTCCTGATAGTGTCTCAGTAGTATCTGATCAATATGATAAAGAGGATGAAGCACCTTCTGATGGTATGTGACACTGCTTACCTTAGAATGTACTGGATTTGCCAGTTCGTTACAAACTCATGCAGTTGGATCCTCGTCATATGAATGCTAGTGTGGGAAATCGGATAAACAGATAAGCATTACAGCTGGATGGTTTTCTTACCTTTACAGGAACCTTTAAAGGAACTGAAGAGCTCTCTCTAGTGGTTCTAGAGCATAGTGAAGCTGTCTCAAATTTAAATTTTTTTTTTTTAAACTCATGCTTTTCCATAACAAAGCATCTTTTGTAGATGCATATGTTTTTGAAGATATATCAGTGGCTAAAACTGAGTATTTGTAGTAACAAATTGTTTGTTAATTCAACATTATCAGATTCTTGCTTAATTTTATTGTGCTGCTTAATGGCTTACTGTATTATTTATCTAATAAATAATGAAAGAGTTTGTGATTGATATTTTTCTGCAAACTCCATGCAGAATAGGTTCATAAAATATTAAATTAATTATTCTTACAATGTTTCCATCCATTAAGACAGTATTTTGTAGAATGTTTTCATTATATAAATTTCAAATTTGAGTTTGCATTAAAAAAAAAATCTAGGCTCCATAGCTATTTTCCTTTTTTTATTTTGTATTCCTTAAATTTAATGCAAAGTGCAACTGTTCTGAAGACATGAACAATTGAATATTTCAACAGTTAACAAGCTTGCTTTAGCATGGTGTCCATATTTTTGAGATTCGTTTATTGTATACATAATATAAATACCTTATATGGATAATATCTGGCAATAAATTAAGTATATGTACAAATAAATTAACTATGTATATTAATTTCTGGCACTAGAAGTTAGATAGACTTACTAGTGAATGATGTTTTCTGACATGATATGATGATCAAACTGTGCAGCTCCATCTCGAAATACAATTGCTGAATGAAAATATGCTTCCTGCAACATAGCACTCCACATTTTATGTTATCCAGATTATTCCCTTTGGAAACATAAATTGCTTTTATGAGGTATAAAATTATGTTTATTGCAGAACAGGGATAAGTCAAGTACATGCATAAGTGATAAACCTTCTAACCGTTGACTCAGACTAAAGCTTTTTTTTTTTATATCCATAACTCTCTAAAATGTGTAACAATAATCACACTTTTTTCTTTTTTTTTTTTTTTTTTTTTTTTTTTATATTGAGCTTTTTGCATGTTGGCAATGTGACCTTCTATTAAAAAAGAAAAACAAGCCTTTTTGCTTTCTAGTCGAAATGTAATTATCAGACAAATTGAGTATCACTTTTAGAAAAGCCAAGCTAATTTTCCAAAATATAGCTGAATGCAACTTTCCATGTATTTATTTTTGCTTACAAACATAATCTTAGCATTATTTCTAATGGTAACTTAATAACATGGTACTCATTGCATAAAGGGTATGTGACAAAATTGTATAGCTGTTTAATAGGAGATATGATTATAGATTTGTTTCAAAACAGTTAATCAAGAAAAATATTGTAATGTGCATAAACCTAAATAATGAATGGCTGAAGAATGCTGATGCAAGAGTATATGAAATATTGTATGAGTTTGTACAGATGGGTGAATAATTTTTAGCCTATTTTGAAAGTTAAAATTATGAGAGTATGTATAATAGCTGCCCAATAGTATCTTGGCTAGTACATTCCAGTTTAGGTAGAAATATAGTGGGTGTGATTCTGTTGCATTTAAGATTATTTTGCCTCAGTAGTTTTTCCATGTTTTATGATAAATGCTCTTCAATTATCTTGTACGAGTGCAACATGAGGAGAAGTTGAGAAAAGGTGGTAAATTTTGATCTGTAAATAGTTTCATTTATTGGAGGAATGTTTATGTTTTCCTCTTTGAATGTCCAGTGTGTCATTCTAAGACCATTTGATTTTAACATATGTGGTCCATCATTCAAGTCCAGCTACCAAGACTATGTATGAAAACGTACATTGGGAGAATCTTACAAGAAGTGAATTGATTCTCAGAGGTACCATTTGTTTCAGTTCTCCCAGGCATCAATGGGTTTGTTGAAGCTTAATACTCTGTGGTTTGGGTTTTTTTTTGTTGTCCGTCCCCCCCCCCCCCCGCCCCCTGCCGCGC